GTACCCTTGTTGGTGGTCGTTAAACACTGTTGAGATTGATGTCATAGGTTTTATGATTGAAATAAAATATCATGTTTGAGTAAACATGAAGGAAACGCTTTCTTGTTTTAATAATCATGGCATAAGAGAAATCTTATATGCAGCTTAGCCGCTGTTAAGAAAAGTGAAGCTAACTCATATGTGGCTACTAATCACTATAGAGTGAATCATAAAAATTGATGTCAGTGGAAAGGTAATATGCTTGAAATTGATGACTGGCAATATTTTATAGACATTCTATCATACTCCATAGAATTGAAATGTAGATAATCATAAATTGAAGAATATGTAAATCTAAATCGAATGACTTTCACAAATATTGTATTTGTTTGAGATATATATAATTGGTAGAAGATTGATTGATGAATGATTGAGTGGAAGTGAGTGTTAAAATTCAAGAAATTCTAAGAGATTGAAGGCAGTGTCACCTTATGCAAAAAATAGCTATTACTCAATCATTTCATTTGTTGAAAGCCGCTGCTGAGATTTTTTACAACTGCTTATAATAGAGAACAATAACAAGAATGATATTTCTTTCGAAACTTTTTTATTACATTATATTGAATAATGTTATATTTGTTATAATATAATCTGTTATGGTGTAAATATAGTTATTACCTTCGAATATGTTCTTTATTTTCTAGTATGTATTAATTTGAAATTAAATTAAAATTTTTCACATTTCTTGAATATTCTTGTTTCATACTATTATGAAATCGATTAAGATAAAATATTAAATTATGTATATTCATCATTTGTAATATTGAACTGAAGAAGTGTTATTCTACACTATTTAGATCATTGTTTGATATTAACTATTCTTTGCAATTATAACCAATGGATCTTTAAAATCGAAATAGTATATTTTTTTATAATAATATTTTGTACTCGGACAATTTTCAAATCTAGTTTATGATGTCAATCAGAAAATGACATGTCATTTTAAATGATATCTATGACAGTTACTTTAGTTTTTATAAACAGCTGTAATTGTTTTTCTGCCAATTATTCTATTTAAGATATAGAAACAATAATTGTTTTTCTATCAGTCAGTTTATCTAGGATATAGAAACAAGAATTGTTTTTCATGTACAAATATGAATCAAAGCGTTTATCTATTGTTCATACTTATTAGCTCAACATTTGCAGGTAAATCTTCTAATACTATATTATATTAATTAATAACTATATTATTAATTATTAAATTTAATAGCTACGGCATCATATAGTACAGTACAAACTAGTACAATAGCAGCAACAACAACCAAAAAATATCTGAGCACAACAGCAACAACTCAAAAAGATCTAAGCACAACAACAATTACCAAAAATGATCTGAGCACAACAGCAATAAATAAAAATAATTTGAGCACAACAGCAACTGCTCAAAAAGATCTAAGCACAACAGCAACAACTCAAAAATATATGAGTACAACAGCAACAACACAAAAAGATCTGAGCACAACAACAATCCAGAAAGATCTGAGCACAACAGCAATAACCAAAAATGATTTGAGCACAATAGCAACTGCTCAAAAAGATCTGAACATAACAGCAACAACCAAAAAAGATCTGAGTACTACAGCAATAACAGAAACAACATCTTTAACAACACACATTTCAGGTAAAATAATTGTTTTTTTATTATTTAATTATGATATTCATATGTAGAAGTTAGTCCAATACCATTACCTACATCTTTAAATGATAAAATTGATTATCAAATTTATCAGACACGTTTATTAACCGATATTGCTGAAGAAAATCGTGTTGCACTTAAACGTCTTACAATAATGATGTCTCATTTGTTGGATAATAATACGAAAGCAACAGTAGATTATACAATTAATGAAGAAAAACAACATATTGAACCTTTACAACATGTTGACAACGGTAAACTATTTCTTTCTTATTCACATATAGTTCATGTTAACTTATTGATTATACCTTTATTTAAATTTTCTAGTTACTAAACCAGATGAGCATACATTACATGTATCATTTGGTGTTGATGCAGATCCGGGTCAATATCCATGGGCTGTAGCATTACAGGGAAACGATCGTGATCGTTGTGGTGGTACATTAATTGATAATCAACATGTTCTAACTGCTGCTCATTGTATTGGTATCCGTAATACGGTTATACGTTTAGGTAGTCATAAATATGATGAAGGTGAACTAGTAAAACCCAGTTTTTATTGTGTTCATCATGGATATTCATCATCAAATTATTACCGAAATGATTTAGCAATAATACGTCTTGCTAAACCTGTATCTGTTCTATCACCAAAACGTGTATCAACAATTGATATATGTAATTCAACTAATATTATAAATACAGCTGCATCATCAAATACAGTTGATCTTTGGATGGTTGGTTGGGGTTTAAAAAATAAAAATATTATACCAGAAGCATTACAACATGCTCAAGTGGCTTTAACTGATAAATCAAAGTGCTTAGGATCAAATAGACATACAGATGTATGTGTTCAAAGTCGACCAAATACCAGTCCAATGGGGTTAATTAATTTACAAAATAATTTTTATTTCAAATAAAATAAATTCTTTATTTCTTTTAGAGCATGTTCTGGTGATAGTGGTAGTGGATTATTTCAACATACAAAATCAACGGATCATTGGTGTGTACTGGCTGTTGCCAGTTCATCCAATAGTGATATTTGTGAAGAGACACAGTTTTCAAACTATGTTCAAGCAACAAGTCCAGATTATACTGAATGGTTTAAAAATGTATTAAATAAAAAAAAATCTTTTGATGATTTACAAAAAGCACAAAAATGTAAAACACATACATTGGCACAACAAATTTGTCTACTTGCTTCATGTTAAAATTCGTTTATCAAAAATTTTATTTTTTTAATCATGCATAATTAAAATTTATGACTGATAATACTAATTTAATCAAATAGATAGTCAATATATTCTCTTAGATTGTATTTATATTCAAATAAATTTAGTATGAACTCAATTGGTTCAAGTATAGAAAGTAAAAATATTCTCTTCGGATACTTCTATTGATTATAATGATAATTATAATTATGATATCACCATACATTAATGTTTCTCATCCATTTCAACTTTGATATATATTTATACAGAATGAAAATTGAATAGTGTTATTGAGAAATAAATTTGAACATAGAACAAAAAAGTAATCCATGTTTTATACTCGACGATCAATACTTCGGATAGGTTAAAAGAAGATTCAGAAAATTGTCAATTTTTTTGTATCAAAATGATTTGGTTTCTTTTCTTTATAGATTAATATACTATGTACAAATTACAATGAGACAATTTACGAAAGACGTTCGAAAGATTATTAACTATTTTTAAATATTTATGGTTTTAGGTTAATTGAGAACTCCTTTGATTTTACAGAAGTCAAAGCTTTTTTCTTCGATATTGAAAACAGATACGGAATGAAGCATTTCCCTGTTCCTAAACTACTGTCACTGTTAGACTTAAATAGGGGTAGGTGTAAGATAAGGATGCCGAGAAGAGCAACCTATAGCGACCTACAGTTTTCTTTAATCGAAAACGATTGAATGGGAACAGCTTTTCTTCGATAACGTATAAGGTAAAATATTTTTCAAACTAATCATCTTTAAAAAATATGCAGAAGAACATGATCTATCATCTAGATGAAATTTTGTTTTTGATGTTTAATTTAAGTACATAGACTTCGCATTTATGGTTTCGAAGTACAATGGAAAAAGTTCTGTAATTACATTCTAATGATGAGCAAATAGAATCCTCTATATACATGCGTAAATAATAGGAAATTGCGTTGATTTGTACTAGATTTTCATGCTTTTTATCAAAAGAGTTTAAGACATTCGTTTGCATGTTTTTCAAAGATAGTTCATCATTAATTTTAATTCAATAGAAAAAAGAAGCTGTCTCTTATTTTTACCGAAGATATATATTTAGATTAAAACTGATTTAATAGAAAAGTTTTTGAATTATCATTCTAGATAAGAATCCTGTTTTTTATTTAATTTCTGGAGAATATTAAAAAGAGATTGACAAATAGATTGATATCGATATGAATTATTGTCATCAGTCATTGATGATAATATTTGATAAAGATGTGTTAAAATTGTTAATAGAAACATTTTTTCATGTGAATAATATTGATGAAGATATCCAAGAATAAATTCCGAACTATGAAGAATATCAATCAAATATTGACATTCGAGAAAATTAGTTGGATCTAATGATTGACATGAACATTTATTAGCTATAATTGTTCGAAGAATATGGAAAAATTGTGGTGTATAAGAAAGAAATGTTAGAAGATTAGATGATGGTTGTAAATTAGTATTTGTATTTTCGATATTTACTGCATGATGTATTAGATCCGAAAGTATTTGACCAATATCAAATGAATTAATCGATTCTAAATCTAAAACATATTGATGTAAAAATTTATCGTTTTAATTTTTCACGTTTGTCTTTCGAAATGATCTACGAAAAGTTAACTATGAATTATATTGATATTAATTCATAGAATTCTTTGTATCGAATAGGGATGTAACAGTGCAAACTCGTAAACTGTTGAGAGCTGGTAACCATCTCTAGCTCGTGATGAACTGAATTGATATGGAACTGTCACACCTTCAGTATAAAATTCTAAAATATTCCTTACCCGATTGTTGAAGATTTTGAATCAATATTTGTATATTTTCATAATTAATTTCATTATCTTGATTTCTAATATTATTCAATAACATATTGTCACATCCTATATACTCAAACATTTATATTTTAATTTATTTCGATTAAATTATTTAATATGAAAAGAAAAACAATTTTCTTACGTTTTCCTTCTAAATAATTATCATCATTAAAAAATCTTGAATCAATACTTTTATTTGTTTGTGAACAACTAAGATCTGTTTTATAATTATCCAATCTTTGTATTTTACATAAATTATTATTATTCATACTATCATCAGAATCACTATCCTCCGATATTGAATGTATTGTTGTTTTAGCTAAATGTTTTTGAATACAAACCATCAATTCAATGAAGAAATAATCTATTTAAACATACATAAATGCGAAGATTTCATGAAAATATACCATATGATTAAACCAAAAATAATAATACTGATAATGAAAAGTAATGCAAAGAAAGTAGGATAAGATTGTCTTTGTTGAATAGTCATTGATGAGTATTTCTTATAATCATTCTGATGTTGTGTTGTAGCTAAATAGATGGTAATCCCAACTTTGGTCGAAAAACTAAAATGTCGAAGTATATAAAGATCGAAAGGTAAAAATGTCGAAGGATGGGTGTGGATATGGGTGTGGGTGAGGGTGAAGGTGTGGGTAAGGGTGAGGGTATGGGTGAGGGTGTGGGTGTGGGTGAGGGTGAAGGTGTGGGTGAGGGTGAGGGTGTGGGTGAGGGTGTGGGTGAGGGTGAAGGTGTGGGTGAGGGTGAGGGTGTGGGTGAGGGTGTGGGTGAGGGTGTGGGTGAGGGTGTGGGTGAGGGTGTGAGTGAGGGTGAGGGTGTGGGGGACTGTATGGATGTGGGTATGGCTAAATATAGATGAATGTTTATATTTACACTGATACTCACACCCACTCTCAAACGTCTTTCTTAATTTTTACCACTAAGTTGTTTCGAACACCCAAAATCTTATCATTTTCATATTTCGACTTTTTTTCTTCGATATTTTTATCCTTCGATATTGTTATACTTCGGCATTTTTTACTTCGATATTTTTATATTTCGACATCTTTATACTTCGACATTTTATTTTCGACATTTTTCGTTCGATCTTTTTATACTTCGACATTTTTACTGTCGACCAAAGTTGGGAGAATCAAATAGATATATCAAGAAACTCAATACATGAAATAGAATTCTCTTATTGAACATACATATATGAACAGTAAATGTTGATGATTCTGTCTCTGTATTCGATTTTTCATACATTGATTTCCATGTTTTTCCTTTTCTATTTTGAACTAAATAATGATTATTATTTAAATTTGATTGTAAAAATAGTTTTGAATCACATCGAGATAATAAATCATATGAATAACATGGATTCATATTTGTTGTTGAATGAATAGGTAATTGAATAAATGACCTACGAATTATTATTGTAAATTTTCCATGAGTATTTACTTCATATACTTTAGCTATATTATTTTTATATCTTAAATATTTTCTTGGTTGTTTAATTTTATTATTTGAATTTGTTTGAATTAATTGTTTTTTGTGAAAATATAATTTTCTTTTCATCTCGATTTGTTTAGAAAAATACTATCTTAGTAACTAGGAAAGTTTAATTAAAAAAGCAGTATAATTTTATTCAAAACAAAAATATTTATCATTCTGGTTGTTCACACGGTGTTTCCTTATTATCATCAGTCGGATCTGTGCTAAATGTTAAAGTACACTGTTCAGTACGAAATCGTTTTGCATTTTTGGTTAAATTTTCTGCCCATTCTTCACATGCTTGTCTTTTGAAATTATATTCCTGAGCTTTTATAGCAGCATAACCAGCTAAATCTTGTGTTAATCTGGCTAAAAGATCTCTTTCATGATCATATATACCACCAGCTAGTATACAATCGTAATTTTGAGCCCATTCAGCAAGAGCAGATACGTGTAAACAAAAAATATAAACCACCGGTGAATTGAAAAGATTTTCTATATGTGGTGTTATTGTTTGTGCATGTCTACCTTGAGTAATACAGAAAAGTTTTTTATTTCGAATTGATTGTAAAAAATTAATGCATTGATCAACGTCATGAAATAGATAAATATTAGTTGTATTTGATTCAAATTCTTGTTTAAGTTCAGTACAATTATTAGTTTGACCAATATGATCATCAAGCCATATTATAACTATATCACTTCCAACTACTTTTTCTACAGATCCCATTTAAAATAATATCGAAATAGGAAAATGATTGTAATTTCAAAGAAACACTGAAATAGATAAATTTTGTTGATTGATGCCGTATAACTAGAAGAATTGGATTGGAGTAAATATATAATCATAAAAATATTGATACATTCACATTTCATGCTTTTCCACGACATCTATAGGTAGATGTTGTAACTTTCGTGGAATTTCTTAGTGCAAAAACGGACTTTAAGTGTAATGGTTTATTCAATAAAGAGAAATACTATTATTATCTATGTTCTATGTAAAACTAATTTGACCAATTTATTTGAATAGTATAGCTCAGATAGATAGATACGATCAAATCATGAGATCTAGCAAATTAACACCGTCTGATGGTATAATCCTGTATAGATCTACGAATGATTTTATGATTTAAATTATAATTGAATTATACTTCTATAAGCTGCTTACAGAATTCAATAAGATATGTGACTATTCGATTGATTTTTCAATATTAGTAATATATGATTATTTACTATTATGGTTTCAACAAAACAATAAACATGTATGAATTCAATCGATATCCATAGCACTTGTACCTGAGATACTTTGTCAGTCTACAATGTATAATTACTTATTCTCTCTTAATTGTTTCTAAACTTTTGAATCTATCTATGAACCAATTGTTCTACCAAATCTTTCGAAATCAATGTCAACATTCTAAAAAAACAGTCGATTTTAATATAAATCTGTTCTTTTATTGATTTAACATATCATGTAAGACTTGATCGAATATACATCGATGGGATACTAAAACAAAACATAGAATGAAAGAACTTTCAATAGATGGAGCTCATAATCAATAGCACTTTGTATTTATATCATCTAGATATTTTAGTCCAATAGTATTCGAGAAAATGTATTATTATTCTTTTATTTATTCTTATCCTACAAAAGCTCAAACTCAATCATTTGACAAACAAATACAAAAATCTATCATAATAAAATTTTTTAGTCTTTTTTAGATATTAAATAGCATAAATAACGACAATGGACAGTAAATTAAAAGAAGCTATACCATTGTATGAAAAACTAAAAAATGAATGGAATCGTAAACCACCAAATGTTGGTAAAACTGATGAATTACTCACTGGATTAAAAGTAATTATCTGTTTCCTATTGAAATAATTTATTTTATTTTTTTTTTATTTAGAATTTATTTGCCGAAGGTGGATTCTATCCATCGGATTCCAATGAAGATACACATGGTTTACATATTGCACGTATGTTTTATTTCATCTTTTTTTTTGATCAATTAAAAAATTTTTTTTGTTCAATAGGTGATACACTTGAAATAGCTGCACAATGTGCAATTGAAAAAGGAGATATACCAGCATTTGAACGTGCACTTGCTCAACTTAAACCATTTTATTTTGATCTTGAGTAAATCAATGAAATTTTCGTTTTTATAAAATATTATTTTCTTTTCTTAAGAAATCGTATACCTGAATCACCATATCGTTATTTATTACTTGGTTTAAATTTATTATGTTTACTTTCACAAAATCGTCTTGCTGATTTTCATACAGTAACTAATATTTTTAATATATACATATATCATTGACATTTTATTCTAGGAATTGGAATTACTTTCACCAAAAGATATTCAAACAAACCCATATATAAAACATCCTGTTTCACTTGAACAATATTTAATGGAAGGAAGTTATAATAAGGTACTTTTTTTTGAATTATATTTATGTTTATTGAAATATATTTCATCATAGGTTTTTCTTGCAAAAGGAAATGTTCCATCACCACTTTTTACTTTCTTTATGGATATTCTTCTTAATACAATTCGGTAAATATTCTATTTAATATTTTTCTTCTACTTCAATTATTAAAATTTTAGTGATGAAATTGCTTTTTGTATGGAAAAATCCTATAAACAAATATCATTAAAAGAAGCTGCACGTATGCTTTATTTAAATAAAGCAGAAGAATTAAATGAAATAGCTAAAAAGGTATGCGTATTATTTTCTAAATATTAATTAATTTGAAACATTTGTTTTTTTTCTCAGCATGGATGGAAATCAGATGCGAATCAATTATTTCATTTTGTTAATAATCAAACAAAACCTGATAATGAACATGTGCCAGCCGATGAAATCGCGACACAAATGATTCAATATGCACGTGAAATGGAAATTATCATTTAATATATTAGACTTTTCTTTTACTATATAATATAAACTCGAAAGAGAAAACTATAGGCGTGTTTTTTTCTTTTTGTCTTTTGTTATCTTTAAAATGATTATTCTATCTTTTAGATCTAAAAAATGTTTAATATAAATTTTTCTGCTAAAATTAAAGAAGCAGAAGATCATGTAAAACAAGGAGAAAAATATTTAAAAACATCATTAACGAAATGGAAACCAGATCTTGATTCAGCTATTGAAGAATATGATAAAGCTTGTACTTGCTATCGTATTGCAGAAAAATATGAACAATGTAGAGATTTAGCATTAAAATTAGCTGAATTACAAATACAAAAAGGAAGTACATTTTTTGCGGGAAAATCTTATGAACAAGCAGCACAAATGACACAACAATTACAAGATTTACCAACCGCTGCAAAATATTTTGATAAAGCAGGACAATTATACGTTGGAGGAGGTAATATATGAAAGATGCGGATGGGAAGAAAACTTACCTGCCCGCACGCATCAAAATGATTAGTCATTGTCTTTTGTTTTTCTTCTGTATAGGTCAACGAGATTCAGCTGCAATACTTTACGAACGATGTGCTACACAATTTCAACAATTTGATCGTACAATAGCTATTGATTTTTATCTTAAAGGAGCTCGTCTAGCTGATCAAGAAGATAAAGCCGATCAAGCTGCTGATTTATATGAAAAAGCAGCTATGCAAATTCTTCGAACAGGAGATTATCCTAAAACAACTGAATTACTTGAAACAGTTACAAATCTTTTAACAACATTGGAACGTTATGATCGTATTAATCGTGTTATACTTTATAGAATATTACTTAAATTATTTAATGAAGATAGTGTAGCTGGAAGAAATATATTTGATCAAGCTTGTCGAAATTATCCAACATTTGATCAATGGGAAGAACGAGATTATATTGAAATATTACTTGATGCTTTTGATCAAGATGATAAAGAATTAATTAGTAAACGTTGTCGAGTAAATTTTTATTCTTCTTTTTTGATAAATTAGAAAAATAGGATATTTTTTTATTCTAGAGAGGATATTTTATGGCAATCGAACCAGAATTTGTTCGTTTAATTAAACGATGGGTTCTTCCAGATAAAAAGAAAGAAGATGAACAACAACAACAAAAAACAACAACGTCCGGAGTTAAACCCATGCAATTTGATGATGAAGAGAATGATCTACGTTAATTAATTACATTCCATATCGTTTTGTCTGTATATGTCATATAGATCGTTACAAAATATTTATTATATTTTTTGATGTTGTTTTGTGCAATAATGTGTAAGTACGATATTATGTATTTATATGTTTAATATATAAGCAAAATTTAAATGTATCTCAATAAATTTTACCGCCTTTTTACATTCTATTCAAACTGGATTTTATGATTATTGCATTAATAGTTATCAGTATTATTCTATTAATCAGTGGCTTATTTATTACTATTTATCTTGTTTACTATTCATGCTTACTAAAACATTTCTCAAAGAATAATCTTATTAAATCTCAACAATATCCTTCAACACAAATGCAAATGATATCTTGTTCAACTTCTATACCAAATATTTCGCAATCTGGAAACGAAATTACTATCGAAGAAGCAGAACCATCTATATCAGATTCTAAAATAAGATCTTTAGAAGAAAGAAATATAATTCCCAATGAACTTTTTCAACAAACTGATCCTTATGATGATAAAATGAACTTCTTAAAACTTGGCGAAATAATAATCGATCGACCACTTGGGATTGCTTTACAACCATTCGATAGTATGGGACCAGTATTAATGAAATTCAATGTATCTGAACAACATTGGATACGACATAATAATGAATAAGTTGATTTTTTTCTATAATCTCATGAGGAAATACTTCTGAACATTTCCATTTAGATTATATAAGATATATACTGATTCATTGCAGTAGTATCAAAAACAAAAAAGATTTTAAAATAAATTTTATTTTCTATCAACTATTTTTTTTAAAGGAATGCAATCGATAACCATCCAGCTATAAGAAGAGCTCCACCATATGGTGTGATTTGACGAAATTGTGGATCATTTGTTATAGCACGATAATACATTGGACCACAAAAAAATGAAAGTCCACCTAGAAATAATGATCCTGTAATGATGGGTCGTGAGACTAATGGTACAGCAAGTAAAGCTACAGAATGAAGTAAATGATATGTTTGAGCCAATTGAAATAACTAGAAACAATGAAAATCAATAAAAATACAATTGAATAATGTCTTCACATACTCGTCTAAGTTCTTCAGGAGTATCATCTTTCATAGCATGAGCTCCATAGACACCTAAACCTATTGCCAATGAACCTGATAATCCAGCACAACGAATAAAATTCTTCATGGTTGGTGAAAGAGTAATACGAGAAGCCATTGCTTGTTGTGTTTGTGAAGATGAAGAACGAGGTAAAATTCTATAAAAAAATATTATCAGATCTCCAAAAGAATTGTCTATTTTGTTTTTTTTTGAATATGAAATAAACTTTTTTTTTTATTAACTGAATTTATTTATTATACACACCCAAATATTTTCAAAAAAATCTTTATCCAATGAGTAATATCTCGAATAAGTAATATATACATAATCTCAAATTAAAAAATATAAATATATGCAAAAATATTTTCTTAATTAAAAAAAATAAAAATTCTGTTCAGTATTATAAAAAACATATTGATTAACTACGTCGGGAGGCCTTCCATTGTTCAATACTATGTTTCAATTCATTTTGTGGTATTACATCTTGCATATGTAATGGATCACGCGTGTATGGATCAATTTGGTTACTATTTAAAAAATATATTTTGAATTAATAATAAGATCTTAAATAAATACTCAAGTAGAAGTCGAATGACAGTTGAACGATCAAGTACTGTTCGAGAACTTGGTAACATGACAGGATCATTCATTAATATAGAACTAATTTGATCGATATATTCTTCTGGTGCATCACTATATAGAGTATCATCTTCTTTATGTTGATCGGCAATTGTCTAACAGAAAAGAAAATGAACTATAAAATGAAATAAAAAGAGAAATATTACTTTAATATGTTCGCCAAGTTTAAGAAATGCATCGATTCTTTCGCGTGAATGTCGAATTCGTTCGAGTACTTCAATAGCTTGTGGGAAAAGTTGTTCATTATATGACCTTTTTTAGAATAATTTATACGTATATTGTTAATATTATATATTTTCTTACATTCCATCATTTGAAACAGCTGAACAAAATTGATCATATTCAGCAAAATTTAGATAAATATCAGTTACTTTAGCTACAAGTTTTGATGGTTCAAATAAATATTCATTTAGATCACGAACTTTTAAATTACGTCGTTTAGGTCCAACCTATATATTAATACAATAATAATAATTTAAAGATAGAAATTATTATAACGAACAAGATGTTGAAGAAAATAATTAAGCATTGCAGTAAGTCGTTCACAAATAGCTGGATGACAAAATATCGATTGTATATTTTGTGTTATCATATTAAGAATAATTAACTATAAAATAAAATCTATTAAAAATTTTAAAGATTCGAAATCAGTTTGAATATTAACTGTTTTAATGCTCATTATATTCATATAACGAGCAATTTGACCAGTATGTCGAAATGTATTTTCAAATTCTTCTCGTTGTCTTTCAGACATTTGATTCCATTCATCACGTTCTTTTTCTTCTTGATTTTGTTTCAATCGTGCCATATACTAAATAAATAAAAAGGCAAACCTTATTTTGTTTGTTTTCTAAAAACTATATCTACTGTTAATGCTTCATCTAATAAGAAATTTGCATCATTCATTAATAAATTGATAAAACGTAAGAATAATGGAGCTTCAGCATCTTCAATATGTTGTTCTGCATATGATGCAAGTTTCTAAAATAAAGAATTTTATTCGAAAAATCAAATATTGAATTTTTTAACTTGGATTTGTGTTCGATGTTTATCAAATTTCCACATATATTCAAGTATTTCATACATTGGACGACGGTAACTAAATTTTTGTTCAAATGCTACAGCTTGTCCAGTTAATTCAATCGATACAAATACATCAAGAAGTACACGTGGCAAATGTTCGATCAATGGATGTTCTTTAAAAATAGTTTCAGCAAGCGAACTAATAGAATTAATTAAATAGAAAAACAATCAATTGAATATTTTCGATATACTTATTCAATGTTCGGCTATCATTGTCCGGTAAAATAGCTTCAAGTACTTCAGCTAATGAAGCACGTAGATGAGGATTACGTAAACGATTTGCATCACCCATAAATACAAGTATAAGATCGACATATTCTTTAATTGATGGTGCTATTGACTTTTAGACAAAATATTAAAAAAGAAATGGGGAATCAAGAATTTTTACTTGAAAATATTGCTTATTATATCGATTAATAGATTTTATAAATCCAATTATATTTTCTATAATAAATTCTGGAACACAACTTAATTGTTGATTTGGCTCCGAAGTTAATGGCAATTTAATAATGACATGTATTTGTTCTTCTAATTTCTTATTTTGATTAGGACATACTGCGAGATGAACAAGCCATGTACATGTTGCTGTAAATAATGCATTTGATAATTCCAACAGACAAGGTTCATTCAATACACATTTTATGTTGAAGAAAACAGTTAAACCTATTCATAGCAATATATAACAATGATAACAATATTTCTTCGGGGGCGCGTGGGGTGTCACGCTCCCCCGTGCTTTGGAAAAATGTTTTTTGGTCAATAAAATCAAAAACAAGGGTTTTTACGCGTTTTTTGGTGGTAGATTTAAGCAAAAAGGGTGTTGTGCCCTCCTGCCTTGGAAACCTCGCTACGTCCCTGTATTTCTTACATACCTTTTTGCATTGATTCTTCTAATCGTTTAGAATTTTCATGATTAATTCCATGAGATTTTATAGCATCTCGTATACATGATAATTCATCACTAATCTAAATAAATATTTTATTTTTATTTTTGTTTTGTCGTTGAAAATTTACTTTGAGTAATATTCGATGAAGTCTATGTACTGAATAGGAATAACAAAGATGTGACATATAAAAACTTTGAGTGATAAAATTAAATATTATTTCATCTTTATTTTCCCCTTCATAATTAATCAATCGTGTTTCTTTATACAATTCTAGAAAATAATAGATTTAATCAAAAATAATTTATTTTAAATAAATAAAATACCTTTTAAATGAACAGTTTCATTTTGGCAAATACTATACAAAGGATTGATTTTTAACAATTTTGTTGAATATGGTTCAGCAAATGGTTTTACAAGATTAAGTAAAACAATATTTAGATTAAGTAAAAATCCATCACTAACAAATGCATATTGTATTAATGGATCATGAGATGACCATTCTTTATTTTTTCCTAAAAAAACAAAATCTCATATAAATATTTCCTAAAAAATAACAACCTTGATTTTCATAAAAACAATCTCCGATCCATTGTAAAACATCATTGCGTACATCTGCATTTTTAACAAAAACTTTAAATAATCTTGATAAATAATCTTGATATATTTTCATTGGCTGACATATTGTTCTAGTAGTTATTTCAAGATCACGTTCATTCATTGATTTAGGTTTATCAAAATATACGAAAGGTTTGCCTGGTATTGATGGTAAAGTTGATTTTGATAGAAGACTACCAATTAATGTATCTTGAAATGCTCGACCGCCTGCTGATTGCATATCAGAAGATCTTGAAGAACGATTCGATATTGTTTTTGGATGAGAAATTTCAAAGATAATCTAAGCAAAATACAATTAAATGTTTTAATAGATTATTTGTTTTTCTCTACGTACTTGAACAAGTACTGACCATTGTGATAAATGAATTAGTATATCAATATATGAAATCAATTCATTAGAAAAATAATCCAATGGTTGAATAGCTTTATACATATGACGAAAGACATTTTTATAAAATAATTTTATTTCATCCTTGCTTGATAATAATAATTCATTATTAACATGATCAGTATATTTACATAATAAAGAATTATCTAAATATAGATTATTCTTAAGAAGAAAAGAAAACAATACAAAAGTTTATTATTACCATGAGATGCAATTAATAATTCTAACCATTGTTTAGATAAATTTTGATCGTTGTACATATCTGGTAATAATATTGCTGTTGTACTATGATTGATAAGTAACTTTTGAATATCATCGAATATTACTTGAAAATAATTCTAAATAGAAAAGTTGAACAAAAAATGATCTATGAAAAATAAAAACTTACTCGTTCTCGTAATAGTCTTTGATAACATTCGGATAAATAAAATAAACAACGATTTTCACTTGAAATTTCATTTCTATTAGTTGTTATCAATTGATCTGATAGATCAGACATTTGAAGACGTTCAAATAATGCTTGATCAACTCGACTTTTAGTCCATTCTTTAATATCCAATGATGCTAACTCCGTTAAATATACAGTTGATGATGAAGATATTGATGGTTCTTCGTTAATTGTACATAATAAAACAAGTTTAACAATATCTTTATAAAGAATACTATCAACTGTTGTTATAACTGATGATGTTTCAGGCATTATTTGTTAAAATAAAAATCCATTATGACCATTGCCTAGGAAGTATGACGAAAAACCGAACCGAGAGTTTTATTCGTTTCTTTTCACTTATATATAGATTACTGGAAAGATGTCACTAGCAATTAAAACAAAAGTTTAAGAAATTATCCAACTCAATTTCATCATATGTTTATAGTATATAGCAGCGCTATTTAGTTATAATTTGATAAGGAATTATTAAAATTAAATCGTAGTTTATCTATTTGTATAAAGCATCTTCAAATGGTTACTAAGGAAGAAGCAGCGAAGACTTCATTTACACTGTTTCTTTCTAGATGATTACATTATTAAAACTCATCTACCAAATGACTTCTGTCATATATATATAGATCCTGAATTATTCATACATGAAAATATATTTCTCCGTCAATTTGAAATATTATTTTACATAATAAAATAGATCGTTTAAGGATATCAGCATTTTTTTTAAAGTAAACTCTTTTATTTTTCAAAAATCTATTGAAGATAATAATAATCATTTTTTATCAATGATTTTCATATCACTTGTATTTAAAATAAAATTATCACTTAGATGTACAAATTCACAAACGATTTTTCATACGAATCAATTAAGTTAATGAGGTACACCAAAAAGTCTCCAGCCAGATGATGCTGCATTCATAGTTGCTTTTTGTTGATGTTGAGGTACTGGTGGCGGTTTACTCCAATTACTAGCCGGTTTAATTAATGATGGAAATGTATAAATCGAAGTAAGTGGTTGAGATGGTGGTGGTGGTGTAGGAACAACAATATTTTGATGAGAATTGTTATATGTGGTTGATTGATAATTTTGATAAGTAAAATTTAGTGGTGACTTTGATATTGTTTGTTTATCTGGAGTAATTATTGGATTTGTATTGTAACGTTGAAGACTTGGAAAGGGACTAAAAGAAAAGAATTGATTGAAGTTAATACAAGAAGAAATTTTACTTGTTTTCATTGAATAAACTAGTATATGCTCGAGCAACAGGTGATGCTGAATGACTAATTGAATCTTAAAACGAAGATAAAATACGAGTAGAAATAAAAGGAACAAGTAGCTTTTGTTTTTTGTCTATACTTGTTCGAATTGGTTCATTTAATGGAGGATTCTGATTGTTACAATGACTATAAGGTGTTGGATAAGCTGAGAAAAGTTTCCGTTCGTTATTATTAATTGTTGAAGTTCTAATAAAATCAAATAATTCTCGTCTTTTTGTTATTATGAAATTAAAATTTTTACCCAATTGGTGGTTTAGCATTTTGTCGATAATTTTCATCAGAAAATGTTCTCAATCGATTATTACTATATTCATCCGTTTTTTCTGGATATAGTTGACGATTTGGTTGTTGTTGTTGTTGCCGTTGTTTTTCAGATGGTAATAACCATGATGATACTTCTTGACGTCGAAAATTATCAACTGGTGCATTATTATCATGAAATTGTCTTGATGCAGATGATTTTCGACCTTGTAAAGCTGAAACAAACAACAATAAGAATCAAATTTTCTTGTTTTTTTTGGTTTACTAGGTGCACGATTAAAAAATCCACTAAAAACAACAAAATTATTCACTTGACGAATTGGTGCAGATAAATTATAATGTTTCTGAAGAAATCCTAAACATTTCGGAGATGGACGATCAATAGCTAATTCATATGCACTACATTTTTCAAACTAAACAAACAATAACAATCTACAAATCTAGATAAATAAATTTACCTGAAGCATTGTTTCGAATAATTTCTTTCCATATCCCGATCTTTGTTTATTTTCAGAAACATAAAAATCTAATAAACATAATGGAGTTCTTTCATGAACTTGACCATGTGAATCATGAACATATAAACGTTTTGTACCAACTTTTAATAAACCAACAACAGAACCTAAGTTGCTAGAAAACAAAACAAAAATAAAATATTTTGCTTCAAATTGAAATTCATTTCTACTTATGATCATTAGGATTTTTAATGAGATATAAACGATGATCGGATATACGAAATTTACGTGTACTTGTAATAGCACCAGGTAATCCTTGTGCCTATAGAAAAAAACAGGAGAAGATTAAAGATTAATTGTTAATAAAATTTACTTTATATGAAGCATCACCAACTGCATCAATAATAGATGTCAGCTTGTCAGAAGCACTAGAATATATAAAACAAATAGAATTTTAAGAAAATAAATAGATTCTATACATACAATATTCTACTTGTTTGTCCATAATTAAGAATTTGTAAATCACTATTAAGTATAGTTATCTCTTGTTGTAATACAGTGTTAATATCAAATGGAAATTCCATTAGAATAATTTCTTTTTCTAATATATTACAATAACTCAATGATTGTAGCCATTACACTTGTCATTTCTCTCAGCAACAACCTCTTTTCTCTTTCTTTTATTCAAATCAAATATATATATAAGAAGAAACGTCAAACAAATAAAATGATTATATATACGAAAGAATCTATAATTTACAAATAATATTAACTACAGATAAGAATATGATAGCATGGACTTTATTGATTAAGAAATAGGAAAATCATTAGAATCGAATCTTTTCATCGTACATCTTCTTGAAATGAAATAAAATCAAGTTCCATCGCTTGTGTTAATAAATAACATTTGCCTGTTGTTTTATGTTGAATATATCCATCTATTGTCAATTGACAATCATCTATAATATTGATTGTATTTATAAATTCATTTAAACTATTCATAATATTTGTTAAAATTGTAAATAAATTTTCATATTCAAAATTATTTGTATTATGAAAAATTTCTTGAGATGATAATATTTGTTTATTCATATTTGTACATAATTCACCAAGAATATATCCATGATAAAAAGCTTCGTGTATCGACATTGATATATTTGAACATGAATATAGAAATAATTCTGTATCAAGATAACCAGAATTAATTGCTTGTCGAAATGTAATCATAGATTGTTTATATTGATCATAAACTTGATTAATACGAAGATTTGTTATAATTGGACAAGATTTTGAATGATATTCAATTTCCATTTCTTCATAATCAAGTTGATCAGTAGTAATAAATTCTATTAAACCTTGATTTGCTGCAATATGCTACAAATACAAAAATTATTAATGAAAAAAAAATAAATGTTTAATGTAATACATACAAATGGAATTAAATCTCCAGACCTAAAAGAAAAAAATAAATATAATCAATTAAATTTTATTATATAAATATATATTTTACTTATTTCGATAATGACCATTATGTAGAATTCCGAGTTTAATAGCATGTTGAACATCGATAAATGATTGTGTATAGGGATTTAAAACATATTTGATTTGTAATTGTTGTGATAAACTTCGATTAAATTTAACTATTTTTTCTGTATTATCAAATAGTTTATTCATTATTGACATCTAAGACGTCTTTTGAATAAAAACAAATCAGTGTGATTCTATACACAGATAATATACATAGAAAACTAAATTAGAATGATCACATCACAATAGAAAATATATGGTATACACTATTGATGTCGATTCAACTAAATATAATTAATATTAGATCTGTCAGAGACATGATTATATTTGTCACATAGAATTATACTCTTGTAAGATTATTTGTTTCATAGTCGATACACAGAGAGAGAAAGAAATGAAGAAAAGTTATATTAGGAGTGTGATTGAACATCATTATTAAATATTACACAGAATACAGATTATAAAGGTAAAGCTATTATAATGTTCAATATGTTTAATTATTGTCTCTTGTATTTACCATTTATTCAATTAAATGAAAAATAATCGCAATAGATATCGTACTAGTAAAAAAGAAGAATAAGGCTATTCAAGATGCTTCAGGGTGGTAATGAATTATATATTAGTATTGAAATATTAAGATGTCTGATTAAATTTGACTGATATGTTATATTGTCGACCTTATCAAATGATACTTCTCATTTTTATACGTAATATGATATCAGAAAGAATCATTATCAATACTTATTTGAATGGTTTCATCTCATCAGAGATTTTCAAGGTTTCTTGCGATACATACAATTAATGATCATTGATCAAAGTTCGATTTAAACATAGAATAAGATAAACGATTTCTTTAAATATGAAATATTATAGAAGGCTATTATTATTATTATTATTGAAAACAAGATAAAAAAATTTATAACAAAACTATAGCAAAAAACCGAATGATCAATATAGATTAGTAGAATTATAGTGGAAGCACTATATTTAAAGAAGTGTTGGAATATTCTTGAGAGTCATTCGTATGTAGTATATAATAATTTATCATTAACAATATTCATAATAATATATCTGACATATTGTTCATATATGAAAAATTCTCATAAGAATTCAAATAATTTTATAGTCGTTGTTGTTTTAAGGATTTAGTTATTGTATTTAGCGACGGAGAATTATTTGTATCAGCATTAACATCTAATTTCAAATGTGTTAAGGTTGATGTTTGATGTATATTTATAATTCGTGTTAATGGTTCAATTTGTTTATAACCATCAGTACCAAGACGGACTGTTGTCCATGCTAATAAACCATAACGAGCATTATTTCGTTGACCACGTGGATGAGGTAATCCTATAAAGTAATAAATAGAGAAAAAAAAATTTTTTATTAAAATTTACCAATATAGATAGCTAAGTCATAACTTGGTCTAACAACACACATTCGTTGTTGAATAAGTCTTAATGCTAAATCATCATCCTCTCCACCCCACCCCCAATATAAATTTGAAAATCCATTTAATGTTTTATATATATCAAATGATAATAATAGAACGCCACCAATTAGAAATTCATAATAACGTGTATAACCACGTGTACTACCAAGTTGTCTAACACGTGATGTAGTATGTTTAGGATAATTTCGTTCGCATGTATAAAAATTTCCATCATCTTCAGGTATTAAATCAACATCATGTAATATGAGACATGTGATATTTAAAGTTTGTTTTTGAAGATAATGAATAGCAGAATTAAATAACCGACCTTTATTAAATCGATGACCATTTGGAGAAATCTTGAAAATAAAATTCAATAAAATTTATTTTTGCTTTAGTTTTTATGAAATAGACTATCAATAACCGGATAAAAGTTTTATGGTATGAATGTAAGCAGAAAGTATTCTGCTTAAGTACTTATGCAAACAATGACTAGTAATCATTAAAAACAACAACGATGAAAAAAGTGCACTTTAAGATCGATTGTAATTCATGGTATTGACAAAGATTACAATATGGACTAGGTGTATATATCTATCAATATTGATTTTTCGTGAATAAATTTATCAGCCATGAAAAGATCTCGAAAGATTACGTAATAGTATTTTACTTCAACCAAAAGTTTATCAATGAAGAAAAAAAAGTCTAGGCTGGATCAAGTTAAACTATAAATAAGCTTAATTTTATATATGAACGCAGATTGATCTGATAAGATAATAATATAAGAAAAATAAGTGAATGTTTATTGACATTAAATACAAGTAACGGTCGTCCGAGGACTCGCTTAACTCTTTCTCGTAGAGATGCATTTTCTTCACATTTACTGAAAAAAATATTGAAAAACGTGAAAAATCGGTTTTCAATGTTTTTTTGACCCTGCGAATACACAAGCAAGCAATCAGACAATTTATGTTTACTGGACTATTCTCTACGAGAAAGAGAATAGTTTAGTTAATTCGTTTTTTTTCTATTATTTTTTACCTGTTCAATAAATATTATTGTATAAGTAAGTTGTTGCCGTCTAAGAAATGCATGCATATTTAATAGAAATGTTTTAGCATTATATTCTCGACCTTGTAACGGTACTAATAGAGCTGTACGTTGAATTGATGTTACTCCAGTAGGATACCACATTCCATTTTGAAATTTATATGGTATATTCTCGAATGTAATATTTTCTGCAAATGATGTCTGAATTATTGAATCTTTCGATTTTTTTTTTATTAAAATTTTTGTATAAAAATTTTCAATATCATTAAATGTTACATTTGCATATGGTAAAACATACGGAAATCGACCACGTAAATATTTTGAATATTTCGGATGAAGATTAGCAGTATCTTTCTTTGGATTATCGAGTTTAAATGTTCGACAAGCAATCGATGTACGTAATGCAAACTCACGATAAGGTACTACGAGATATTGTGGTGGAATTGTTGATAATCCAATAATAGAATTTTTTGAAGAATTTAAACAACTTATTTGTGTATCATATATATATGAGATAATATTTTTTTCATGACGATAAATTATTGTATTAAAAACAAGAAAACATATTGGTAAAAATGAAGTAATTAATAAAAGAAAATATAATCGACGTCTGTATATTTTACGCATGTCTAAAAAATAAGAATAGTATTTGTCATATTTTTCATTTTTCAATTCAAGTTAACAAGTATGCTAGTTTTGAAAATGCCAATTTTGATAAGAAAAAGAATCGTTGAAAACTTGAGATTTTATACAAATATTGTCCAATGTGAAAAAGCATATTACCTTGAAATAATACTTCATGTACAAAAACTCGACTGTATATTAGCTGTGATTTTTATATATATAATAGAATGTTATTTTCTTGGCAGAGGAAAGGTATTGAGACGAACGATTGATGTTTATGACTCGAAGAGATTTCTTGTGAGAAAGAAAAATCGATAAATGTGACAGACTAGGCGAAGAACAAGATATTGTTCCTTTTGTATAGCTCTCATTTTTCTTCTTTCTCTTCTAATTCCATTTGTATATATTCCTAAACTACAGCAGCCACACATGAATATATATAATAAGTCCAGTATATTATGTCTCGCGACAAAATTCTTTCGTTCTGTCATTCGACAACATAAATATTGCACTGAGTTATTAGTTCAAATCATCATAGAAAAGGCAGTCACATGTGATTGGATGCAATCTATAGGAGAGCAACATCGCCTAGAATGTATAGGAACCATAGTAACAACAACTTGAAAAAACAAAGAAAAAGAGAAGAAACGTTCTGTTATTCTCACAGCATCTTTTTTAATTTCTGTTTGTATAGAACGAGTGCCGTTGGTAAGCATTGGTTAAATCAACGAAAGAAAAAAATTGAAAAGTAAGAACAATTACACAGTAGGTAGAAAAATTGGCATATGCATAATTATATATGGGATACTATCAATAGGCAATAGAAATATATGTAATAACCTATGTCAAATATTCTAAGAATATCTTTTATGATGAAGTATAAAATTATAGAATACTTTTTTAAAATATTCGACCTTGGTTCTATATTGATTATGATTATAATTTTTCTTTTGTAGAAAAAATAAGATATGTTATCAGATGAGACAATATCAAATTTTCGTCTTCATCGTACGACACTTCTTGAATCTAATGCAAAACCATTTGTTGTTCCTACAAATGGACAGTTACATGTACCAGTAATAAAACATCAACCTCCTGTAGTTTCTGAACGTGCAACATCATTACGTACATCAAAATCTATTATTGATGCGAAAAATCGAGCTGTTAGTGATAGTTGTATGGCTGCAGCTATTGGAGATCTACAATGGCTTAAACAAAGTTTAAGAGATGGACCACTTGGTAGTGGTGAAGCTTTTACTATAGAACAAACTTATGGAAAAGATGTACATTTTTAAAAAAAATAATTTTCTTTATATATCAACTTTTTTTTCTTGATTATAGGGTTTAGCTCCCATTCATCTTGCTGCTGTACATGGTCGCCTTAATTGTTTATCATATCTTATTGAAATAGTTCATATTGATATTGATCTACCAAGTATAACAGGTTGGCGTCCAATTCATTTATGTATATCAAAAGAAACGGGTTCACGTTCATTTCAATGTTTACAATATCTTGTTGAAAAAGGTGCACAGATAAATATGTAAATTCATACAAAAAAAGAACAAATACAAAGTTTAATCAAACTTTTTTCTTTCTTATTAGTACGAATAATGATCAATTAACACCATTGCATCAAGCAGCTTCAGAAGGTCATGTACAATGTGTAGAATTTTTACTTGCACGTAATGCTGATGTTTATGCTGAAGATAGTCGTAAACAATCACCTCTTGATCTTGCTAAATTATGGGGACATAAAAGATGTGCAAAATTACTTGCAGCTGCGATGTGGCATCAAAATAAACATTTATCAGAAAAAGAACGTCTTTTAACACGTAATTCAAAAATGGCTGATATTTTACTTGAAATCAAACAAGAACATGCGAATTTATTTGAAGAAAAAGGCGAAGTAATTTATATTATTAACTTAATTAAACAAGAATTAATCATTGAATATATAGGAAAAGTTTGATCAATGGTTAGTTAATGCCGGTACTGGATCTGGAGCACTTAATAAGACATCGAAAGATAGTAAGTATTATATATATATACGTATCTGTACATTCTATTTCTTATCTATTTTTTGGGAACTAAATCAACAAGTCCTACAGGTCAACAAAAACAATCTGAAAATCAAAAAACACTTCCGGAAATTTCTTCTGAAAATGTGAATAATCAAAAATCATCATTAGATAAACGTTTTATACCAAAACGTACTCGACCGCCAACTTATGTAAATAATACGAAATGGAATGTTTCAACTCATGCTAAACCAAATCCATATATAACTGATTTAGTTGATGCTTATCCACGTGATCCATTTACTAAAATGCCACCTAAACAAGATGCAGCAGCTGTCTATCAATTACTTCAAAGTATTTTCGTGTATTTATTTTTATTAGACAAATTTATTTATTTTAGGTATGACATTAACTGATGTAAAGAAATTTCTTGAACGTAGACAAGGACAAATAACTGAACCAACAATTTCTGATGAACCACAAAAAAAACAACGACCTGTTGTTTATGCTCCATGTCATGTACATGATATACAAACATTACATAAACCAAGAAAAGGTGATGAATCTTATCAACCATTACGTTATTTCGATGAAGCTGGTTTACATATGACAAATAATGTACGAAAAAATGTTTTCTATAATCAATTATCTGAAGCATTGAACGAAGGAGAGAATACTTTTCTATCACGACATCAAGCAACAGAGGATAGAACTAAATGGGCCTTATTTGAACAGTATGGTTCAGAACTTATTGATTTTTTAACTGATCATCGTGGTCGTTTCAAACGACAATATGAAAAAGTTTTTATAACTTAGAATGAAACTTTTATAACAAAAACAAACGTTGATTAATAAATAAAAGTATTTTATTTTTATAATCTTCCAGTATGAAACCAAAAAAAAATACATGAACTGTCTCAATTGATTTTCCATATTTTATATATATATGTATACATCATGTCAACATTTTCTTTTGTACTCGTATAAACAAGTTTGATTAATATAGGAACAATGTCAGATTAGTTCCACGATATATCATTATAATTTATTGTTCTTCTGTCATTTGCTATAATTTGTATTTTCAAAGAAAGATATAGTATTAAAAATATTGAATATATTCCAATAAGTAATCGTTATCATTGAATACAAAACATCATCTAATATTAGTGATAATGTGTAATCAACTGAAGTTAATGATGTTTTTTTAAACGTATACAGTATGAAAAGAAAATTGCAAAAGTATTTATCTTGTGATGTTTGTCATTGATAAACCAATATTTAATAAATGAATTTTGTTCTTACAAATAGGAAATTTTGATATAATTAGTGACTATATACAATATAGATTATTAATGTTAATTGCTATCATTTACTTCATATGTCAATCAATCAAAATTATTTATGATAGATATCTATATGTTTCATAGTTTACAGCTTAGAATTAACGACAAAAATGAATAAACTTTAGTTCATTGATTGATCCGCGTTTCCTCATCTCTATCTTTTTTGATGCTATTAATAATAACTATAAAAATTCTATGAGACATTTACCTTTCATTTCTATCGTTTGAAGCTCTACTAATTGTATTACACATGTAAATATGAATCATTGTTATAAATAACTACTTCTATATGCCATAAATATATAAATAAATTCTTCATTTGTGATAGTTCGAGTATCATATTAAGCAACTTATAATTCTTATCAAGAAAGGAGGTGACTAGTGAGAGTACTATTATCGACCACAAAAAGAAAAAAAGATGTATATTTTTTTTTAGTATTCTATAGAGAGATAAGAACAAACATTTTTCATGTAATACCCTTGAGTTTATCAAAGAAAGTTAATAGATGATTAAATATTTAAAATTAACTTTTGATTATTCAACATAATTTAACACTAGTATTTTGTATAATAGAATTAGTTTATGTTTGAACATATATATATTCTATTCGATCATGATAGAAGATTAAATGTTTGAGGTCTTTCCTTTAGAGAATTCTACTCTTCAATCTTTTCTTGGTATGTTTCTATTGACCAAAGTCACTTCCTATACATTAGGGAGCGATAATAAAACGGAAATGATTTTAGCTGCATCCTCCTACAACTTTTTTTTGTTTGTCATTTACGATAAAAAAAATATTCCCTCGCATTTTTTCTTCTGCTTCTTCTTCTTCTTCTTTTTCTTTTATCATTAGAAAGGTTTCGAAATAATAATAGTTGTGTCATATATAGACATACATGCAAATATAGATTAATCAAAATGATAGAACTTGATAGATGACAAAGTCTCCTTTTTTTCCCTTCTCTTTATTACAATAATAAACAACGTGCATTGGCTTCAAAATTTTTTGTTATTATCATTTATTATAATCAGAATAACGGTAGTATCTCTGACTTTCTATCCAATTTTTTAATCTATTGTCAGTCATCGATGTATGTATGTGTTCTCTTACTCTTTCTGACATACATCGTATATAGAAATAGTATATATATAGAGAGAGAGAAGAAGTAATAATAAAATACTATATAAGACATACGAAAAATGAATCTTTTTTTTTGTCGATTCTTTGCCATGCCGTTTGATAGCAGCTGAGAATGAAGAATCAAAACAAATCTCTATATGATTGTAGCACGTGATAAAGGTACACACTGGTATCAATGATTTATTCTGGACTAGATTTTCTTATAGGCAGAATTCGATTTGTCTATTATAATATATCTTATTATTATAACTAATATTCATGCCTTATTTATTTTAGATGCCAAGGTCAATGTGTGAAACAATATAAGTATTTATCGTAAAAATAAATCCTTTTGTCAACCAAGATTATAATTAGTTATATATACAAAGAAATAAATAAAGAATAAATTATCGAGAATTATATTTCTCATAAGAATATTCATTAGTTTAATGATAAGTAACGAAAATCTCAATGGAAAAATATTCCCTTGAGGTTAGTTTTGTTTCTATAAATATATATATATATGTAAGAAAGGAAAAGATCTGTGTATTAGTATTCTGTACGGAATATTTACCATGATGATTGTGTGAGAACAGAAAAGGAGAAAAGCGAGCAGACGAATAAGAAGAAAGGATAGAATTAGTAAAGTATCCTAAAGGCTTTCTTTTCTTTTTTTGTTCTATCTGTCTATCAAAGATACATTGTATTTTATTCTTTGTAGAAAAAATCTTTATTTTATCATTTATTATGAATACTGATCATATCAATTATCAACAAGAAATAGCACAATCAACGAATGAAGAAAAAGATCATGAATTATCAGAAAAAACTGAAGATGCGCCAAAACAACATATTACTTCTTCAACTACAATAGGAATTAATCAAAATCAAGATGATTATCAAACAATTAATCAAAATACAGAAAATAATATGGATATTTTAACACCAATTCAACGTCGAGAAAGAATATCTACTTTATTAATTATTGCTATAGTTGCTCTTTTAACTGGTATGAAAATATAAAATTAATTTTTTAATTTTTACTTTTGTCTTTGTCTTTTTTCTAGGTATTGATTATGCGATTATTTTACCTACAGCATGGGGTTATATAAATACATTTATGCAATTTCATTATGGAGGCTTTGTTATGGGTATGCTTTTATCTGTTTTTGCTTTATCAGGTGCAATTGCTGGTATTATACTTGGATATCTTAATGATACTGGCATGTCATTAAAACGACTTGTTCTTTTTGGTATTATGTTTAAAATAATTGGAAATATACTTTATTTTATTGGTATTAACATCTATATTGTTGTTCTATCTCGATTAATTGCTGGTATTGGTATGGGATTAGTTGTAAGAAAAATTGTTTTAGAAATTAAAATTTGATTATGAGAACTGTGTGTGTTTTTTTAGCCACCATTATTAGCAGAAATATCAAGACGATCAACACCAAAAACACGTACACAACTCTTATCAAAAATACTTGGTATAAAAATAATAAGAAAAAGTTTATTGTTCAAATTCATTCTTCTTCCTCTTCTTTTTTAGCTTGTCGTCAGATTGGTCTTTTACTTGGCCCTTGTATGACAATCTTATTAAAACAAATGAATTTTAAATTACTCGGTATTCAAGTTACAATGCATAATTCACCTGGTTTAATAATGGCAATTCTATGGATAATATTAGCATTTTTAACTGTATTTTTCTTTTTTGATTTACCTCTATCTGCAGTAAGTTTACATTTAAAATAATTTCAAAAAAAAAATATTTAATTTTTCTTTTTAATGTAGACTGATCGTAAATCATTAGCAAATTCAATGAATGATTATTCAGTTAACCAAGCATTCAAACGCGCTTGTAAAATATGCAAAAAGCCTGTGATCATAGTACGTAATTCCTAAAAAAAAAGTCCGGAAATGTATTTTCCTGTTCTCAATCTGTTTGAATTACACTTGAAACATTTACTTTTCTTCGTAACACTCTTTATCTAATTAAATATTTATATTTTAGGTACTTTTAATAACTTCATTTATCGCATATTTCAATCAAACAGCACTTGAAACAACATTAACACCATTTACAAATCAACAATTTAATTGGCATGAATTAGAAGTGTCAATTTTATTTGCAGTTGCCGGAATTGAAATCACACTTGTCTATGTTGTATTACATTATGTAACAAAAAAATGTCCTGATCAATCTATACTTTTATTTGGTTATATTCTTCTTAGTTTAGCTTGTTTAGTTGCTGTTATTATCTTACCATTTTCCGAGCCAGGTTCACATAAATATCTACCTATATTTCTTGTTTTTGTTGCTCTGGATATTCTTGCTCTACCGCTTGTTGTTGTTACAAGTACAAGTTTATTCACACAACAAGTTAGTATTGATGAACAAGGTATTGGTCAAGGTATTCAACGATTTATAATAAATGTTGCAACCGTTGTTGGCCCATTATATGCTGGTGGTTTATTGCAATCAACTTGGATAATGCTATGTTCAATGTTATTTATAGTTCTATTTGGAACATTTCTTATCTTTATTATTTATCGTTCATTTAAATCAAAACATGATGAAGAATTATCATCTTTAATACGACCAGTTAATGAAAGTCGATAAAATAAAAAAAATTTCTTTCCTTAAATTTTTGTGTAATTATTTATATAGAAAAGCAAAGAAGAGAAAAATAAACAATTGAAATTGTAACTTCGTTAATGATAAATGTTTTGTATTGAAGATTAATTGTACAGATAAACATGAAGAAGAAAAAAATAATCTTTTTGACAAAAAATGATGTGGGTTGGATATAAAAGACATATTCACATCTACAAATCTTTATCATTTCGATTGTCTCTAATCAATGTAGTTCATCATGATAATCTTTATTTAGAATGAAATTTTAAAGAAAAAATACTAAACATCACATTCCTTAGCATTATTGCATGATTCTGGTATAGAAAAAACACTAGGATCAGGTTTTTCAACAATATAATTATCAAAAAATTGACTAGCAAAACCAGTTGTTGCACGAAAAAAGAATTGTGATGGTGTACACGTCTTATTTCCAGCAGTATCATTCGATGATCGACATGTATCTTCAAAAAATGAATAACCAAATGGACCAGCTGGATCTTCTGGATCATCAAGAACCCACCAAAGAACTGGTCGTTTATAATAAACACCTGTACCATTATATTTAACTCCAGCAGCTGTTTCTATAAAATCTGGTGCTGGAGGACTCCATGGTTTTCCAAAAATACAACATGGTGGTCGACCAGTTGCTCGAGGATCAGTTACAACAAGAAAAGCTGTTCCATTAGTATTTAAAAAATTACATGTAAAATTATTACTAGTTGATTCAAAAATTGGAATACATATATCATAATAATATTCAATCATAGATCGTATTGACCAATCATAATAAGTTCGGCCACGACCTACAGTTGTATTTACTGTTGGAATGGAATCATAAGGAGGTAATTGAATATCATCATATACATGTGCCATTGTCCATTGATAAGTAAAATAATTTGGCCATACAGGTGGAGTAGGTTGACTTTGAATTATAGTAAAACATATGAACAATACAATAATTGAAAATTGCATGTCTAGGTTATTTCAAAACACAAAAAATAAAATGAATATAACCGAATGACGTAGAAATTTCTCTATTTAAATTATTTTATTGTAATCTGATGATTAGAAGTTATTGTCAATAACAATATGTTCTCCTTTCCCACAATTTTATTGATAAATTTATATTTGTTATAATGATAATGCATTTTATTCTAGATTAACCGATATATATTATGACATATATTTTTTATTTTAAGAAAAAATTTTTAGTTAACATTCTTGTGTTGACAATGAAATATGTATTATTTTTCTTGATTTTTGAATAATATTAAATGCTTGTCTATCTTCATTCTTTTTCATGTTTAACACGTAATTTTAAAACATCAGCTGTATCAATTACTTCATGCGATGAGATGAAACGAGATATTTTTGAAATTGTCCCATCCCATTCCACGCGGAGCATTAGTTTGTTTGTCAAAATGAATAAATTATTACAAGAATGTTTTGAAATTTTTAATTAATTTTAAATAATGAGGCATGTCCGCGGTAGTATAGTGGTTAGTATCCCCGCCTGTCACGCGGGAAACCGGGGTTCGATTCCCCGCCGCGGAGTGACTATTTTTTTTTCGTTTTTCTTGCCAGTGAAACAGAAAACAATTTATTTAATATTCACAAGATAGATAAAATCTATTTGTTTCTTAAAAGATTTCCTTTTTGTCTATTTGTCATATATAAATACTACTTTTCGATTGTTTTATCGAATAAGATTGAATCTACATTTCGCGTATTTTTGTGATAATAAAGTTTGATATTTTCTTCTTGAATCAATCGGATCATCTTTGTGCAATGTTTGAAGAAATTGAAATTTAATAAATTTGTATATTCAATTTTTTTGAATTGATATTCTCATGATCAGAAAAATACAAGTGTGAAAATATTCTAAATCATATACGTTATTTTGTTCACGCCTTGCATATTTTTTGTCATTCATTATAGAAGGAAATTTTTTCCATATAAATATAATTTTATCTTTGAAACTATTTATTTCTGTGATTTTATTATTAAGAAAACTTTGAATGAAAAGCAACTTTATGTAGCGTCTTCTTTAAATGACTTATTTTCTATATCAGTTGAAAATTTTCGATCATTTTCAACTTTTAACATTAAAACAAATAACAAATGTTACAAGAGATTTAAAAAAAACAAAAACACAACCAATGCAATGAACGTTATTATGATGTGGATGAGATTTCAATAAAGTATACACACTCACCCACACCCTTCTTACAATGATCCGTACAGCTGAGTAATCTTCTAGATCTTTTGTGAGAGTGTATGTTTGTAATCAAATATCAATGGACAAGTAATACCTATATCAACAAGTTCGTTCATTCTTTGGAGACACTATAAGTAGGACGATCATTTAAGAATATACGCCATTGCTCGTGTAATATAGAGAAATGTCATATTTCTTCTTTAGCTGCTACGTTGATTGATCTATATTCTGACACAACCTAACTGGTCGAGAATCTATCGATGGATTTGTTAACAAAGACAAATTAGTTAATTCCTTTAACGAAAAATATTCCATCTATGTTAAAAAGGTGTTATTCTAGCAAAAAATATCATATTCATCTACGTTGTTGCTATTGCATGCCGCATTATTTCAGAAGTGATAGTATCGAATTCCTTAAGCATCAATAGATTCTATTCACCTTGACATCATGCGGAAATTCATTTATATAAAAATCTAAAATCAATTTTATTTGGTATCTAATTAAACTTATATAAACAAAAACCATATTTTTAGAAAATGATAACGTTGCGTTTATCAAACATTGAATGTAAATGTATGTTTTATATGATACAACAAGTAGCTGTCGATCTTCTCCTTTTTTATATAATGCACAGCTTCAATACTATAATTTGAAATCAGATTGAAATTTAGTTCTCATTGATTAACAATCAGTTTATATATTATTTTAATGGAAATAATGACTATATACTAGGAGTAAAACATGGCGGACATTCAGTAGTCACATAATTTATATAATCACTCTTCTAACTTATGAAATCCTTTGGATATACTTCCGATGGTTTTCAACCATTCCGGTCTATTCCCATATCTTCGCAGTCACTCCGAATGGATGAGAATGAGATTTTTCCCCCTTGATTGAGATACTACCCATTTTACCGTACGTTCCACTCCCACCACGTTGAAAGTGAAACAGAAAACATTTTCCATTAAATGTTCTAAAACAATAAAATATAGTACAGTACTTAAAAAATAAGTAAACAAATCTATTTACTTACTATTCATTAACTATATACTTACTTAGAGCCCCAAAAATAAATAGAATAAAATTAGATTAAATTAAGTACTTAGTGCTCAATATATATATCACTTTGGATCATCTGAAATAAACTGTTTCAGGTGATGAAAGAAGACATCATGATGCCACATATGTTCATAAGCTTTAATATATAAATTCATTACTGATTTTGCATTTATTGATAAGGTACTTTTTTCGACTTGACTTGGTGTAGCCATTGAAAAACATGCATGAGAACCTTTGATGAATCGACAATTATCAGGTACTGTATAAACTAACTCACATTTAATTAAATAGTTGAGTGCAGATAAGAAACGATCTTGTTTGTTCGAAAATAAACTACGATGTACAAACATCGATAGCGAGAAAAATAAGTACTTCGGCTGAGTAATACTCGCAGCAGAAATAAGAACGATATTATTTATATATGGTGAGACAATGAATCAGAGCCAATATCAGAAGAACGAAAATGCATTATTAAGAAAAATCTGGTATTTCTTCATACATCAAATTAGTCCAGTTTCTGTTTATCTCACACAATATATTTAATTATAAAGCGTATATTCTTTTTTATTAACGTAAAAACTATGAGAGAATGTCACAAAAAAATTTGAATCACTACTTGAACACTTGTGAAAAATCAAGAAAAGTCAATACATTAACAAGCTTTTTTAAAGTTTCATTGTTAACGATAATAATCAGCGGTAAGTCCTTGTATACTAGCATGTTGTTAAATTAAAGAGTTGTATTCGATTATTTGATCTATCAGCAACCAATAGATTACTATATCTATCAAAGAGGATTGTTTCAGGCCCATTAAGTTGATCCGATGCTGTTCCTGATGTACCACCAACAATTGTAGTACCACTCGTCGCATTTGGCAACCAACGTGTAACACGATTGTTACCTGAATATGAAGACAAGTAAAACGAGTTTTTTAATCTATGGAGTATTTTCTTTTCTCAAAGTTGCTCTTACCTTGATCACCTATATAGAGAGTTCCACTACTATCGACCACTATAGATCTTGGACTGTTCAACTGATTCGCTCCACTTCCAACTCCATTACCTCCAGCCACAACTGTTCCATAAGTTGCACTCGTTGAACCTGATGGAAATCTCATTATACGATAATTATATTGATCGGTAACGTACAAAGCATTTGTATATAAATAATCATAGTAAATACCATTTGGATTTGAAAGCTGATTCAAGGCATTTCCATTACCATTGCCACCTATATATGAAAATAAAATCAATATTAAACGAAAGATTTCTTTGAATGAATTTTATATACCTGCTGCAACCACTGGTGATCCACTACCCCCAACAAACTTGTATACCGAATTACCACCAACGCTAACTACATAAACATCATTAGTCAATGCATTTATGGATATTATTGCTGGTGTAGCTACTGAACCGATAAGTGTTCCAGATGTCGTCGAATTCGAATTTGGTGGAAATCTAACGACCTGGTTGCAATTGTAATCTGCTACATACAATTGACCAGAACTATCACGACCTACTCCAGCAGGAGCATTAAACTGATTCATGTTGCAACCCTGGCCGTTACTTCCAGCAATTACTGTTGCAACTGCAGGTGAATTATTGAGAGAAATTTGTAGAATACGATAATTTCCCATATCAGCAATGATTAATCGATTATTAGGTTGGTCATAATACATTCCATTTGGTCCAGAAAGAAGTGAAAGGGTGGAGCCAGATGTACCTGCTTGACTGCCAAATATAGTAGTCGCTGCTTGTGACCATGTCGATTGAGAAGACAGGGCACATGCTATAAAAAGATAGGAAAAGAAGAATTATTTTATTATTCAACACTTCTAGACCAGTTGTAGGGTTTTGGAAAGTGGATAGATGTAATTCTTAGATATGGCATAGTAATGTCTACTGCCTTTATTGGCTTAGAAAAATATAATGTGTGTTAATGCATGTGGCGCATAAGATCGATAGCGTATGTCATGTTACTACGATATCGTTTTCGAGGAGCTTCTTTTATGTAACTATTATCTCAGGAACCTAGTTAATTTTATAGATCAATCCTAAGGTAGTTCTAGAGTTGTCTATCAAAATCTGCCTTCTCATTTTAGCAGATGACTCAGGGTTGAGACCTATCAAACAGATAGTTCAATCGTACTGTGTTTAACCAAGGTTGATTCATGGGCCCTTCAGCTTAGTGCGAACCCGTATAAAAACAATTCATCCGACATCTGTGTTGAGAATCTATAGTAGCAATAAATAAGTTTTCGGGACATAATAACTGAAATGTGCTGATTATATTTTAATGACTAACTTAACTAGAAACGTTATATATGATCTAATGATCACAAATTACAAATAGTTTTAGCAAATTACATTACTGTAGTCTATACATTATACAAATCGCATTCGGTTTTTTATGTAATCATTTGAAAAGTTATAAATAACTCACCTGTTGTTGTTGTTGTAGTTGTTGTTGACGTTGTTGTTGACGTTGTTGTTGATGTTGTGGTTGATGTTGTTGTTGAGGATGATGACGATGTTGTTGATGTAGTTGTGCTTGTTGTTGATGTTGTTGTTGACGTTGTTGTTGACATTGTAGTTGTACTTGTTGTTGATGTTGTCGTAGTCGGTTCTAGTTTACGAAAATGGCATTAGTATGAGACGAAAGAAATTGATAAATTTTCGCTTAGAATCTAATATTTGTCCCCTTTCTAAAAATATACATAGGATGTGGATGTGGATATGGATGCAGAAGAACTAATCAACAACCACCCATATACCCATCCTCAGACATTTCAAATACAACACATATTTCTCATTGATTAGAATTTAATCAAAAGTGAAAAGCAGAATAAACTGTTATTTGCAATATCTACTACCACCGAGGATGATTTATACTAAACTCATTATTTTCATCAATTATATTCTTACATTAATTAATATAGTTCATACACTACACAAAGTATGTGCCTAATCTAACTTAAACTAGAAACAGAGTGCATAAACAATCGTCTACGCTTTTATTCACTATGCAATCGAACATTGTTCTGAGTCATTCGTGATTCCTTATTAATTCAGAAAATGACGAAGAGTTTACTGCAGAGTTAAGAAGAGGAAAAAAAAGAAAACTTTTCTTCAACATTTATCATACGTAAAAATTAAGAAAAAAAAGTTTTTCTTTCTTCCTTTACTTAACTTTGAATAGTACTCTCCTTAATTTATTACTTCTATATTAACTGTTATGAACAGATGCATTCGTTTTTGTCCTGTTGTTTATATGTGATATTTCCGATACTATAAAGTCAATAAAAAAAGGGAACCATTACATGGCCCATCTCTATACATATTCCTAATCAACAAGCTAATTATGAATAAAGCTTACTAAAAGAAAAAAACATTTTTTTCTTTCTAAATCTACTATGTTCATACTAACCAGGTGGAGATCGTGTTCCAGCAATAACAATCATAGTAGTAATGTCGGTATCAGTCTGCATATTTGCAATTTCATTTGACATATCAGTAAATAATTCGCAATTAGAAGTTGATTTCTGAAAACTGGCTGCTCTACAATAAGCTTGAGCTAAACAAGCCATTTGACACTTCATAATAGTCGACGTAATGATACTTACCAATGGTAAACAAGGTGTACCAGTACAATGAAATTTCCAACCACGCATTGAAGACATTCGGAATGATTGCATATCTTCTCCAACCGATTGTGTAATAATCATAAATACAAACCATAGACACATTCTTTTTGAAGCCATTACCAACTGAATTGCAAGTTGATGAAATGAATTTAACTGAGAATAAAAGAAAAAGAATCTGTTAGGCGATACAGACTATTTTTTTTCTTCTTTTTCTCGCTCTTTTCCTTTGTCAATGTAGCGTATGCTTCTTTTTCATTACATTTCATCAATCTAATGAAAGAATTAGTCATGACTTGTATTTTATTTTGTAAAAACACATCCATTTGGAAAGACGAGTTTTCTTTGTTGATATGTTACTTAGAGACAAATATATTTACAAACAGAATGTTTTTTTGTTCAATGGAAAATGAATAGAGATGAAAAAATATACAAAACAATCGACTCAATAAAATGGGATTTGAAAAGAAAATAATCAAGATTTAGTGGCAAATGAAATTTTTCTTTTAAAAATCAAAATCCTTGAATTGAAATTTAATTCATTGTGTCCATGTATAAATTAGATAGTCGTTATCAATTAACTCTCACACCATTTTCATATAGAACAAAGAAAATTGAATAATCCTCCAGATTCAAACTAACTGAATTTAGATATTTCAATTGACTCTAACACAGGGTATGACAACATTTTCATAATTCCTCTTTTGCTATTCTATAGTATCATTTCTATTCTTCATTTTTTGGATCTATGATTTAATAGATAATCGTATTTTTCTTCATCAGTGTAACAATGATCCAAACAATTAGGCTCCATGTCTATGTATGATAGTATTAATGAAAGACAACACATCTGATTTATTAGATACATAAAAACAAACAGTTTTTTCAGTATTCTGACTTGAGTTTAATATTGTTTATCATAACAACACATTCTTAAGTGTTATTTTCTCGAGGAAAAACATTTATCCACTGAAAACATGCTTTATTTTTCTTTTCTCTCGTTTCTATGCTGCTGTAACATACTATGTATGTAACAGAAGAAGAAGTTAGTTGCACAATCTTATTGATTATTCTCAAAAAGAAACGATAGAAGCAGACAACTTCTAGAAAGATCTAGGTTTGATGAAATTACAAAAAGAAAAAAGGACATTACTTTAAAAAAGCACATGTCTGTGAGTAAAACAATGGTGGTAATATATGCAAACTTTTTGTAAATAGAAAACGGCATCTCCATAATTACATTAGAAAAATTACTAAACAAAGTTGATGACGTCTTTACTTTCTTTCGATATTTCAATGTATTATACAAGTAACGCTCGTCTAGAGACACGGCCAGCTCTTTCTCGTAGAAACGGTGTGTCTTCACTACCAGTAAACTATCTAATTAAACAATTCCAAAAATCGACTTCAAATCTGAGACTCTCAATCTTGATAACCCTTTAATAAACCCTTATAAATATTTTTTTTCGTAAAAAAGTGGTCGTTTGTATGAAAACAATGATTCCAAATTTTTTTTTAAAGACTGATATCAGGTTCAAGTTCCTCGATCCCGATTACCCTTTGGTCGACCATTATAAAAAAATCCTTTTATATTTTTACCTAATTTTTGGATCAATCAATGAAGTGCGGATACGCAAGCAAGCAGACAATTTATGTTTGCAAGCCTCTTCTCTACGAGAAAGAGAACTTTATAATCCAAGAAGAGAAGACATAAACTCAGCATGACAAGATTAGTCGAAATTCTTAAGAAAAACATAGAAAATCAATAGAACTTCAGAGTAGTATTTTCATAATTGGATTTCTTAGGCTTCATTCAAAACTGGTTTTCAAATACAGTGATCGCATTCATGCGCTAAGTTCTTAACATTTTTCAGCGGATTCTCACAGGAAGGTCTACGTTTTCTAGTCATTTAAATATAAGCAACGTAAAATTAAGATGTTTTTTTTCGTACGAAAGCGAAAACATTATATTCTTTACGTAACTGAACGTTATCTCAATAAACAGAGATTAAGGATGCACCCAGGTCAAAGAATCCACACTTAGGATCCTATCGGTTCCTGTCGGATAACCCATCATATCTGATAACTTCCGATAGGATCCTATCGGAAGATATCGATTTCCTCAGCATAGGATTCCGACAGGAAGTTGTCGGATGTCGGATCCGACAGTTTCCAACGGAAAATCCGTTAGCCAGAAGATATCGGAACCTGTAGCATCCGACAGGATTTTGTTGGGGTTTTAACTCTGAATCAGCTATTGCTGTCGGTGTAGATGCAGCAATAGTTTGCTTTTGGTTATTCACTACTCCTAAGCTTTTATTCATGTTGCAAACCTATTTATTTTCAAATACCCTTAATGGAATAACAGAAAAGGTTATATACTATGACAAGAAACCATACAAATGGAAGAAGAGTTTTTCATAATAAAAGTCTGTTTCAGAAAAATAAAAGACTTCTTATGAATAAAGAACACTAGACAAGCAGAGAATGAATTTTAAAATTATTAAATATATTTATCTAGAAAAAAAGATATTGAATTTTTGAGTTATTTAAATAAATTTATTTAAAAAAGAAAAAGTTAAGTTGTAAGATTATTAAATATACTCATCTACAATAGAAGAAAATAAATTTTCAAATTTGTTATGTATTTATCTAGAATAGAAAGAAATGGTGTTTAGAATTTGTTAAATATATTCATCTAGATTATTGTTCAGAATAAATAGAAAATATTTTTTAAATATTAGTAAGAAAAGTAAACAGACAATCACCGACGTTACTGGATTTTGTCAGATCGTGTTAACGAAATCTAGACTATCCGATTATCGGAAAGTATCAGAAACCAACGGATATCATTGGATTCTATCTATCGGAATCCGGTCGGATCCGATAGTTGGATAACGCCGAATTATATTGGATCCGATAGGATCCTGTGCGGTAGCTTCGACCTGGGTGATGTCAAACCACATATTATGAAAAAGAAAAATTCAGAAAATATGATGACCATTGCATTATATTCTCCTGTTTTTGACTTCACAATTTTATTAATAAATTAGGCTATCGATAACTAAATAATCTTAGACTGGATGATTATTTATTTTAAAACGAAAATTTATTTCAATAATTAAGCAAAGAGAAGCATGTTTGAAAGTTTTTTAAAAGAAAAATAATCATTTATTGAGTAGTTTATACGAAATATGTTTTATTTTATCATAAGAGTAAGAACAGCACCAACTAAGTTCAATGCGAGTGCAACAATAACCAAAATACACGATACACCCATGCTAGTATTCCAATTATTTATACCAACCATGTTCTCAACAGTATCCATATACTTAATAGCATTCACAACAATATTAATCTCAAGCCCAATACCAATAATTCTACTAATAACACTTGCGATGGCAAGAACTTTAGCTACTAAAGATATACTCTTCTTTAAATTTTCATTCACCAATGTAATCAACAATACTGATATAGCCGATAATGGGGCTAAAATACAACATATTGTAATAAATGCTTGTGTAGCCATAAACTGACCATGCAGCGAACTCGATGGGATATTGACACATATTGATGTAACATTTATTTTTTCACATACTTTCCACAAACCGATTGTATCTGTGACTGATTCAACAGATATCGTTGCCCTATGCAAAAAGGTTATTTTATCAATAATGTTTGCCTAATCAATAAATAATATCTTAAAAAATAACTTCTTAAAATAATTCAAGACGTCAAAAAATTATCTATAAAAGTAATTCTGTAGAAAGAATTTCTTTTTTTAACTACAAAGAAATATATATCTATTTTCCAACAGAATACCAATTTTCATCGACGATTAAAACTATTATATGAATCAATATTCAAGAGATGCTATGAAAATTGAAATTCACTCATTTAGTTCATTTTTATTTCGCCTTTGTATTCAAATTAGAATTCTCTATTAGAATAAAATAACTAGAAAAACAAAACACTCAATGGTGATTATACTATTCAATAGAAAACATTCCATCTAAAAATCATTTCTGATAAGCACTCTTTCATTCGATTATAATCAGAAAATATTAATTTGTAGATTTGAAAATCTCCTCTTTTGTTTTGTTTTTGATTTTTTAATAGAGAATAGGAAAAAAAGTTTACAAACCATTTGTTGTTTTTCTTTGAGAATACTTTGCTTCTATTTTGTTACTGTGATGAATAAAATGGTTATATGTTATAAAAGATAGATCTAAAAACATCTACATTTTCTTCATATTGTTTATTATTTGGTTAGTTTTTCTAACTATATATGCTAGTTTCAGTTTAAATATCACACGTTTGTTTCTTTTATTTCTTAACAAAAAAAATATATATATTCATAACTAATAGTTTGAGGGTGTGGGTGTGAAAGTAGAATTAAAATGTATAAATGCCCACACCGTATAATAACTATAATAATAACAGCTGGTAGCATATGATTGTGAACTATCAAATTGACTTTATTTAATACTGGATTTTTGGCGACCTTGTGTATTACGTTGATTTTGATTTTGATTTTGGTTTTGATTTTGACGTCGATTTTTACGTGAAGATTCAGTAGATGATGGTAATATAATTTCTTTTTTAATAACTGGTTTATTTGAAGGTTCATCAATGTCAGGTTGTGTAACAGGAATATCATCATCATTAAGAATTTCATCAGCCTCAATATCTTCAGCATCATCAGTACCCTCATAATCATCATTTGCGATTGTTGAAGTTTTTACACCACCACGTTTCTTTCCTCCACGATCCTTATTGCTAAAACTCATTTTAGCTCTTCGAATCCTTACATTGAGCTTTTGCGGAGCAGCTTTAGTAGATTTTTCTATTGGTGTTGGAGTAATTTCATCTTGATTTGTTGTTGATGTATAATCAGTATTTGCATTATTAGTAGCAGTAGTATTTTTATTATTATTATTATTATTATTATTATCATCATTATCATCATCATCATCTTCAATATTTTTCTGAAGTAAATTTGCTGACGTTGAGTTGTCTAATAATGATGGTGATGGTGGAGGTGAATTATCCTTTCCATTTACTTTTTCTACATGTACTAGTTCAATATGACGAATACGAGTATTTGATGTTAATAATCGATGAGTCCAAACATCACGTTCTTTCCATGCATAATATAATATAATTATTATACCTACACACATGATGGGTTTTGTAACATCTACTTTGGTATACCATGGGCGAACTTTCACAGCTGATTTTCTTTGCTCTTTTTTCTAAAATAAATACAAAAAGCAAATCAATGAAATTATTGACAAAAATAAAATTATTATCGATTAATTTTCTCTTTTTTTTCTTCAAGTAACATACCAGTTGTTCAGTTGCGCGTCGTTCTTTTTTTTCAATATGTTTTGCTAATGCAGTTGCTAATGTAGGCCCTTCTCCATCATTAATACTGTCAATTGAAGGTGAAGTTATTCCAAATAAACGTCGTTTCAAGTTTATTGGTTCTAATCCACCTTCATCAGACTTGGATGGTCCAGATTGAGAGTCTGAGATTTTTTGTGAATCAGTACTTAGTATTGAATCTTTACTTAACTGATTATCTTGAACATCTAGATAATCATCAAGTCTACTGGTTTTAATTGTTATCATGCGTTCTACCATGTTTTAGCTTGTGCTTAATAGTCTATTCAATTGAAAACTGATCTGCTGCACAAGTTATGATTAACAGAAGAAAAAAACAAATTTTGCGTCAAAACAAATGAAAATATCGAGTTAGAATAAACGGTCTCCTTATATACTTATACATGTGTAAAACAAGTTGTAGTGGTATGAAAACATGCATATATTCACGGCTGATTGCTTGTCTAGTAATGGTTGAATTACGTTCTATCCTTTTCACAATCATAGAATATCGAAAACATCATTAGGTCGATATTATTATGAATAAATTTTTATAGATAATAAACATATACAGAATAACACAGCACATTTTGTAGTAATTACCTTTTTGTATTCGTAATCAATACATAATATCACATGGTCTTTTAGTTATCAAAATGAAACGCAATTTCAATTAAATGTAACAAATGTAAAAATATGAAATATCTCTTATATTAAGAAGAATATCCTTGTCATATACAATCTAGCAATTATTGAAACGTATCCTCGTATGTTTTTTATACAGAAATAAAAAAAAGAAAGTATTATTACATAGGTGTCACCATTAAAAATATTAATATATCATTGGTTGAATATTAATATTTAAGACAAACAATTTAGTTTTCATTATTGAATTGAATTTTTAAAAAAAATATTTCTGTTAGTTCTATGTTTATTAAAATAAATTTAAATATTTTATTTTATTTTTGAAATAAAACTTATAATATGTATAAATGATTTTAAAAAAGAATTTATAGATTTTTACTGTCAATAGATATTGAAACAACAGAATGAAAAACTAAGTAGATGCAACTGCTATATTATTTAAATTAAGACATGAAGGAAAATATTAAATTGTAACTTATTGTGACGTTCGAATTTTCATAGAAAATTTTTATTTATGTAAATCAGTTTAATTACTAATGTAAAAACAATCAGGTTTTCTATTGAATTAGACGAAGTCACAATAGTTCTATCAGTATCATTGTTATACTTCTGTTAATTCTAAACAATTTTATATTCGCTTTACATTTGATAATAGAATATCTTATATTATTTTAGAAATTGATAAATATTAATGAGCATCAACTTTAACTCATTAGAATTTTATAAAAATAAATTCCTTTAAAGAAAATATACTACACATTTCATATTTTTTGTATTACTACACTATTAGACTATATATTGTTTGAGATTTTCGAATACTGATTAGTTGTCTTTCAAATATGACTGTTTGAAGAAATTTATCTGATAAACTTTATAGATTAATTGAACTATAAAGTATCTTGAGGGTGTGGGTGTGGGTGTGGGTGTGAATATAAAGTTTATCTTCTTCATTGACTACATCCACACTCTTTGATAAATATGGTAACTTATTAATTGTTGATAGAGGAAATATCGAATGCAATTTTTTAATCTAACAACATGCTAGTATATAAGGGCTTACTATCGATTATTATCGTTAAGAATGAAACTTTAAAAAAACCCGTTAATGTGTTGATTGTTTCTTGATTTTTCGTAAGTGTTCAAGTACTGATTCATATTTTTTTTGTAACATTTCTCTCATAGTTTTTATGTTAATAAAAAAGAAGATATGCTTTATAATTAAATGTATTGTGTGAAATAATCAAAAAATGGACTAATTTAGTGCTTGAAGAAACACCAGATTTTTCTTAATAATGCATTTTTATTCTTCTATTATTGTCTCTAATTCGTTTTCTCACCATACATAAATAATATCTTTCTTTTTCGATATGATGAGAAAAGACAAAAAGTAAAAATATCGAATGAAAAACATGAAAATTAAAATATAGACTATTTGTCGAGTTATTCATTACATCATTGAAGAAATAGAAACAAAGGATAACATTCATTTACAGTAGTTATAATATAATACAAACAATAATTGAATATTTTCTTGTTTTTGATTTAGATGTTTTAATAACGATGTGATATAATTCTTTTAAGAGTTTATTAGGATTGATATCACGCACACAAAGATGTTTTAAGCATCTCATTTTAAAAATGCCAAATAATTGCTCAATCTTTTCTATTCTACTTTTTAATTTCGATATTTTTTTCTTTCTGTCTTTTTCCAGTCATTCTCTTTTTTGACTTTAGAATATGTCTCTTTCCTATATGATATCTTTGGTGGCATAATATCATATTCATTTGTGTTTGTTTTCTCATATATGCGCGTGCTGCTCTTTTTTCTGTATTTCGTTGGACTTGATATTATTCTGACTGCACGTGTATATTTATACATTTAAAATAAAGGTAAAGAGAATTACTCATAAAATCCTTTAATAATTTATGGTGAGTTTAATCAATCGAATTAAAGCGGTATGAAATACAAAATCATCGTCCTTATCTAGAGAAATATATATGAATTTATACAAGTGCATTTACATGTATATGTCTAAATAAATACAAAAGACTTGTCAGAAGGTTGGGTGTGGATGTGTGGGTGTAATAAATGTAATATTCACATTCTCACACCTACATTCAGATCCAGATCCACACCCATCCTATTTTGTACAATACTTTTACCAAGTACAGAAAAGAAAAAAATGTCGTAACATCCTATTCGAGAAAATACGTTGTCTTACATAATGATTTCGAAGTTCACAGTTTATAAAGCAAATACGTTACCATATGACTCTCAATCTTCAAAGTATGAGTATTGTAAACAGAAAATACGCGCCTGCGTGTCTGCACACTGATTGGTCGAAAAAAACGAGTTTATCAGATTTAAGCAGAAGTTTTCTGCTCATAGCATGACTTTTCCTTCTCTTGTAGAAGTGAAGCTGCTACTGGTTCAAAGTGCTGTTATTCGTCGTGCATCCAAAAAAGTATAAAATCAGGAGATTTGGCAACATTGGATACGACAGAGATGTATCTTGCTTTTATCTGAAAGCTGTGAAAATCTCTCTATTGAAACCTTCATTTCCTTTGCTAAGACTTTGACGTTGATCGAGATGCATTAAAATTAGATTACAAATTGACCTGAGAAGCCTCATGAACAAGATCGAAGCGCGTTATGGTAGTTCGTCTTGAGGGTGTGGGTATTGGCGTGTATTGAATCAAGTATTCATGTTCACACTTATACCTTGAGACTTAAAATACATTGGTTTCTGATTCAAAAAAAGGTCTTATACTGAGGGTGTAGATTAGAGATGGATATAACACCTACAATATCACTGTAATACGCACTCATACATCTGTATCCACACCTACCATTTCTTCAGGCAAAGACCATAACTGCATACTTCATACCGCTTTAATCTAATTGATAGAACTCACCGTCAGGTATTAGAGGATTTGTTGAGTAACTTTTTTTACGTTTATTTTGAATGTATAAGTATACACATGCAATCACAATGACATCAAGCATAACAGAATATAAGGAAAGAGAAACGAACGCATATATATGATTATGTACGTGCAGGGAATAATATGAGAAAACAAACACAAAAAGAAACGACGATATATCAGCGAAGATATCATATAAGAAAGAAAAAAGTATCGAAATCAGAAAGTAGAATAGAAAAAGATTGAGCAATCATCTGATATTATTAAAATGAGATGATTAAAACATTTGAGTGTTACAAAATCTTGATCAAAAATGGAAAAAGGGATGATAGTGATTCATGTTATATTACATTTACTCTAAATAAATGTTATGATTTATTTCTATTTCTTCAATAATCTTATGAATATCTCGCTAAACATTATGTATTTTCTTTTTGATATTTTTACTTTCTATCTTTTCTCATTGGACTAAAAAAGAAAGATATTATAGATACACACGGTGAGAAAATGAATTAAAGACAACAATAAAAGAGAGAAAATGCATGGTTAAGATAAAGCTAGTAGCAAATCTGTTTTTTTATCAAATATTGGCTTAGTCCGTCTTTCGATTATATCACACAGCAAATTTAGTTCTACGGTGTATATTCCTTTTGTTAATATTTAAAAGAAATCGAGATATTACTCAGCATTTTTAAAGTTTCATTGTTAACGGTAATAATTAGTAGTAAATCGTTATACACTAGCTTGTTGTTGAATTAAAAAGTTGTATCCGATTATTTCCTCTATCAACAACCAATAGATTACAATATCTATCAAAGAGGATTATTTCAGGCCAATTGAGTTGATTCGATGCTGTTCCTGATATACCACCAACGATTGTAGTTCCACTAGTCGCATTTTGCAGCCAACGTGTAACACGATTGTTACCTAGATAAGAAAAATAAGTCAAGCAATATTTTTTTAATCTAGAGAATATTTTCTTTTTTAAAAATGCTCTCACCTGCATCAGTTATATAGAGAGTTCCACTACTATCGACCACTATAGATCTTGGACTATGCAACTGATTCGCTCCACTTCCAACCCCATTACCTCCAGCGACAACTGTTCCATAAGTTGCACTCGTTGAACCTGATGGAAATTTCATTATACGATAATTATTTTGATCGGTAACGTACAAAACATTTGTATATAAATAATCATAGTAAACACCATTTGGTCCTGCAAGTTGATTCAAAGCATTTCCATTACCATTGCCACCTATATATGAAAATAAAACCAATATTAAACAAAAGATTTCTTTGAAAGAACATTATATACCTGCTGCAATCACTGGTGATCCACTACCTCCAACAAACTTGTATACTGTACTACCACTAGCGCCAACTACATAGACATCATTAGTCAATGCATTTACAGATATCATTGCTGCTTCCGTTAAAGAAGCTAAAAGTGTTCCAGATGTCGTCGAATTCGAATTTGGTGGAAATCTAACGA